TCCTGCTGATGAATGTTGCATTTTGCATGGTAACAGCTAGTTCAGTGTACTAGAAAAACGTACTGCTTCCAGTAGAGTGAATGGTTCAAACAGTTGTATTTTACTGTATTGTTAGTCTCATTCATTTCACTTTCCTTATACTCAAAATTATGCTTTAATTAAAATGGTTGTCCAGTGTTTTTTTAATCAAGTATTTGAAGGGTATAATAGCTGCTTTAAGAGTACTTCAGTGAATAAAATCAGTTTTACAACAGAGCATGTGCAAGGCGCTGCTAGTAGACAGGCTGCAATTGTTCATGCAAGCAAATATTCAAATTAAACACCCAGAATCCTGACTGTCCATTCATTAACAAGGATGCAGAATCAGCAGATTTTAATACTAGTAGCCCTTAATTTGCATAATATTTTACACTGCTGAAAGTATGGTATCAAGACAATTGTAACTGTTGCTGAAGTCAACATGCTGATTCTGCCCTGGAATTTTTGCCAGTGACTTTACTTGAAGCAGGATCAAGGTTTAAGTGAGAGGAACCAGTAAAGACAAATGGAACATGAGTTGTATGAAGATACTTTTTCAGGTAGTCCTTGTTTGTAAATGTAGGCCTTCTTTTCCTAGACTCTGGACTAAATTCCTGTTCATAGCTTCAGTGCCGGTAGTGATCCAGTCCTGCTTCCAATACAGCATAAGCCTATAGTATGTTCCTGTTCCAAGCATGTAGTAAGATACCTTCTCACTCCCATTTCTTTGCTGATTGGATGGTGCTTACCATACATTCCTTCACTTCATGTCCAACTGTCAAATCAGACTGATTTTATTGATATATTTTAAAAGACAAATAGAGAATAAATAAAAAGAGGTTTAGGTCCCTGCTTGCAATTCACAAGGTAAGATTTTGTTCAGACAGATTCAGTCTGTTGAAATATTTACACTGAGAAGCAATTCAGTTCTGTTGCTTCAACATAATTTGACTCCTGAAGCTAACATACCTGCTCACAATCACCTTTGATTTTTGTCATTTTGTTTTCCTTCAATCTATTCATAGACATAAACATATGGTCTGTCACTTCTGTGAATGGAGGTTGTACTGAGATTGCTTTACTGCCCTCAAGTGGTGTTAGAGCCATATGCTCTTCTCGTGAATGCATGGGCCTCTAATTTGCTCTCTTTTTAAAAAGTATGGTATACTTGATTGATGAATTCTGAAAAGAAAGCAAAACACTCTTCAGTTGGGAAACAAGTTATAGCTAAACAAAGATAATGATACAGAATGAAAAAGATGAGTAAGAGAAACAAAGACCTGTAAATATGTAGATTTTGTAGGGTGAATGTGTAGACAGCTCACATGTGAAGTCTGATTAGAAAGCTTACTTTATTCAGCACTTTGAATCTATGATTTAATAGTTGTTTAGCAGCACAGAACAAAAACTGCAACAAATCCAAAACAACTCCACACCAATGCTATAGACTGAAAAATCCAGCTGGCATGGGAAGGATTTTTACTTCAGGGGAATATATATTACCTTGGAAAAGTTAGTAGAAATCCATGGAGATGGTCTGCACGGTAGTGTAGGTACAGATACTCAATTTAGAGCTATTTATAGATAAATGACATTCTGCAACCTCCCAAACATTTTTAACACAATCTATTAAAACTGATATTTCTGTAAATATGTTGGCTAATAACTATAATTTTTTTTCTGCAGGAGACTTCACAACTTTTAAATAAGGTATTAAGATCTTAGAGTGATGATGGAAAATGTGTGAGCCAGAAAAACTTAGGAAAATTAGCATATAGTGTGACTTAAAAGAAAGAGAGAACTCTTTCTATTTGTTCTAATTGTGTACAAAATCTTTTTGTCTAAAATGACCCGTCACCTCTCTGGTGGCAAAAATATGATGCCCAGTGGAGTCTTATGCTTGCGGAAGGTGATACTTACATTGGTAGAGCCAGGAAGACTTGCAGTTTATCCCAGGCATCTCAGAGAGGTGGTGTTGGAGACCTGATGAAGGTGAAAAGAAATCACCTTGAGCAAGTGATGGTAGTGTTCCTATAGCATCTAATGCATGGAACAGATCTGCAGGCTGTACAGTAACCTGTTTTGAATCATGAGTGAGTAGGTATACATTGTAAGGCTTGTTTTATCCATACAGTCATCTCCGAAATGCTGCCTGCTGCAAGGTTTACAGCGCTAGTCATTCACTTCTTTGGACTCTTTTCAGGGTCAGCCTGGTGAGCTGGGAGCTCAAGGTCCGATTGGGTCCTTGGGATCTACAGGACCAGCTGGTCTGCCAGGGGAAAAAGGACAGAGAGGTGAGAATGGGCAGCCTGGGCCAGCTGGAGAAAAAGGTGATAAGGTAGGAAACACCATAGACACCTCTTTTAGGTGTATACAGTATGTAATGTTAAATATTGGCAAGTGAAACAGAACCTGCATGATCAAAAAGCATTTGCCAAACTATACTCTTGCTCACAGAACATTCTCACTGAAATTAATTACAGCTTTCTTGAAAAAAACGTTTCAGGGGATTTTTTCTGTGGATTGCAGAATTAGAATTGTCAGAAGACATAAAATAAAATGAAACAGACCCAGTCTCTGATTGTTATATACCATGTCATCCTCCTTAACCTCAAAGAGGGCTGTGGGAGGAATGTGGAGCTGGAGGGAGGAGTATGGTGTTTTTAAAAGTGCTGTACACTAAACAGAATTTTATTACCACTTATGGAGTATAAATTGCAGTTCAAGTCCATAATCTTTCATAGCTGTACAATCCCTGTACTTGACTTTTGGTACTTTATATTACTTTTAATGGTCTAATTCCACTGATCTCAGTGAATGACTGAAATCACTAACGTCGATATCTAGCACACTTGAAATGTAAGTGCTGTAAATAGAAACTGTGCAGCTGGTATTATCAAAGCAGAAGCAGGGTTGTGAAATTACATACAGAATTAATTTATAAGTTATAGGCAACTTTCCCTTCTCTATCATTTTATAATCTTTGGAGAATGAATGAGTATGAGGGTTAGACATTTGTCCTGTACTGTACCATCTGTTACATGGGTGGTTATTGGCACTAGTATCCTGCTAAGCCCATATAACTTTTTCCGGGTATTTATTTCTGACAGTTATGGCTTTTGATTCATATTTCAGACAAGACGGTTTCTTGCTATATAGTGTCACATGTTCTTGTTTTTCATTCTTCTTAAGAGTTAATGACCTCAGCAACTTTGTTTTTTCATGTCACCTGTTTTTAGGGCCCAACTGGAGTTCCAGGATTTCCTGGTTTAGATGGTGTTCCTGTACGTATTGAATGAATATTGCTTTATAAAAATAACAGTCTCTATAAAGTCATAGCAAGTCCTCTAACAGAATAATACACTCAATATATTGTTTGGCTTTATACCTATTGATACCATCTCACCTACAGAATTACATGTTTTGCAAAAATGTAAATTAGCCATGTTAACTTCAACTGTGTTTCCTATTGATAACAAACTCCACAAAATCCAATGAGGTAAGAGCATAATTTTCATGCAGGAGTGGGGCAGTGAAGGTACAGACTACCCCATGTCCATGCAGCATGTGCCAGTGCTAGGATTTAAAAAAATGAGTTTCTTTTCTCAGGCTCTATAGCAGGCTGTAGTCTGCTTGCTGTGTCCTTAACACCTCTGAAAGTATCTCAAATGATGTACTGTTTTCTGTTCAAACATTCTGATTTTTGCTTGTAGACCTTTTGTAGGAAAAAAAAAAGAGCAACCACTGAGTCCAATAATTTTAACCTGAATAGGGACTGAAGAGGGAAAATGGGTCCTAAATATAGCTTTATAAGCATATGATTATATATTGTTCTGATTGTCTACTTCAGTGTGGAAACGGGTGTGGTAAACAAAGATAATATCTCTTAGATACAGTATTTTGAAAAACGCTGTTTATTAGAACTGAATTCCTATGCTGCTATTAGTTTCATGTAGATCAAAGTTAAAATGTTTAATTTTGAAAGTGAAAACAGAACCAGAAATTGAGTGGGTGTCTTAGCATCTGCTTGTCAGCTGTCCACACTTGACAATGGGACTGTTTGCCAGAATGTCTGTGTAATGTAGAAGTCACAAGGCCAAAATTTAGCACAAAAAAGAAGCGCTCCCAAGAAATGTATATTCTTTTTATGAAAAATGTTAATTAAAAAACAGTGTCCACAAATTGGGATGAAGAACCTTAAAGACAGAAAGAAAGTAAAATTGAGAAAAACATTTGTGTCAAAATTACTCTTTGTTCCCTACAAATATATTTAATTCTGTGAAAATTTTTCCTCCAATGGAAAAATCATTCCAAGGGAAATCTCACTGTTTCTATTGCCCCTAGTGTCTAATTTGCAGAAGAACTAACCCCTATCTGGACATTGCTTAGTTCTTGCTACGTTAGAAAATCACTTCCTCAATTCTTGAATGTATAGTCATAATCTCTGTGATTACTGTATGCTTGAGTCAAGCTGTGTCCTGTTTTTCCTTGCTTTATCCTATCAGTTAAAAAATATGAGGCTGCTTGAGGTGACTTTTGTGTATTTCTTCAGCTTTTCTTTACAGCCACAAGAAAGATTAGTTAGAGAGCTAGAGTCCGCTTTCTCTGAAAAGATAGCCTGTTACTTTTTGATTCAAGTGAGAGCTCAATCTGGCCTTCTTAACCAGTGCTGTCCCTGTTATATTGGCTACACATCAAAGAAAAAGATATCAAATACGTACATCATTTGTTGTACATGAAAAAAATTCTATTGGTTGCAATAGAAAACATTTCAAATGCAAAGAGTATGAAGCTGGGACCACTGTGAGATGTCCTCTGTTTCAGATCTGAGATACTTGTTTCTGAATTGTTCTGCTAATTTAAAAAGTAATTCCCTATTTATCATGTTGTATCTCTAATAAATACTGATCTGTCTTTCAGGGATTACCAGGAAGTGAAGGACCTAGGGGAAAGCATGGTTTAGATGGCTGCAATGGCTCAAGAGGAGATCCAGGATTTCCAGGCGAAAATGGTTATATTGGACCAAGAGGTCCTTATGTATGTGAAAGGCTTTCCTACTGTCTGTAAATACTGTATATGTACACTTCCCCTCCAAGCGAACAGCTTTTAAAATGAAAGGAGTTTTAGACTATGGCGCTAGCTTTACACTGCACAATGAATTTCCAGGTATTCTTACTAAGGTTAATGGGAGTGGAGGGAGTTGGTGCCTTAACAGATTTAAGTTTAAGCTTGAACATGAAATAAGTTCCTATATCCTTGAAGCATATATGTCTACCTTGAGAGTTAAATTCTGCTTTGTTTTCCCAGTACAAAACCACACCAAAGCTAATACCATTTCGTGGAAGTACAACTGAGGAGTAGCTTGAAACCATCATACCATTTATCAATACTTGACATTTCTTAAAAGCCTTCATGGTAGGGACATACCTGAGATGAATTAGCTTCAACAAGTCCAAGTCCTATAACAGTTGAAGATTTTTAGTGGTTGATCACACCAGTGTATTAGTAGATCTCTTCCAAAATCATGCTCTTACAGTTTCATGCGCCACTTTTTACACATACCTATTCATGACTGCTCTGTGCACATCTAATTTTGCCTGGGTGTTTACCTGTATACACAGAGATTATTTCAGTTAAAATGTTTAAAATTAGCACTTTAATATTGTTTATTTTTGCTGTTAAAACTGAAAGCATTTTAAAATTGTTTAAATAGTTGTGTTAGCAGTGCTTTTCTAATGAAATAAAACACAGGTCACGTCAGTAAGGGATATAAATTATTGCAGCTCCAAAGAAATCTTGGTGAACAGATCTCTTCGCCAGTCTTTGACTTTGTGTGGAAACAAATTTTAGTTCTGAATGATTAATAGCTGATTAGTTGGTCTAAGAACTTCCCTGAAATTTTCTAAATAAAACAATAAAAACAACTGCAGTTTACATGAAAAGTCAAATGTGTTTAGTAGGAGCTAAGTAAGATGCTGATTCAGCCATAAGGAATCGAAAAATGTGCAGTGGATGCCAGAGTGAAAAGATGTTATCAAAAACACAGCAATTGTAAAAAACATACAGTTTCAGCCTTGGACCTGTAATAAATGCTATGAAATACACAACCTGATAAAAAAATTGATAATAACCTCATTTTTTATACCTCTCAAAGTAACCCATTAACCCTCTAAATGGTAAAATTACTTCTGCTCAAAATCTAATTTTACCTGTATTTTATTACTTATTATGGCTTTCAAATAGAGTTTTGCCTTCTACAATTAGCCGAATGACATAAAGGAAAAATGAGACATGAGACAAATTACAGCATAAATTCTCCCAATTCCAGGAGCATGCTCTTTGACAGGCCTAGAAAAGTATTTGCAACCGACAAAAAATGGGAGACACAGTAGGCATGTAGCCTTGGATATGCACACTAAAGTTCTGGTGCAAATTAATTTAGCTGCCCAGAAGAACAAGACGTAGTAACTGTATTTGCTTGTGTAGAAGAATGCTATTCCAACCTCCCTATGCAGATTGCCTATTTTAAAATCAATTTGTTGCACCAAGTACCAACTTGACTATATATTCTGGCTAACTTTTTAATGTTATTCTTATTTATAATCTCTCATATAATTTTATTTAACACTGTGTATGTATTAATCATCTTTACTTCTGCTACCTTGTAGAATCTGTACATTTAGCTAGCCAATAAACTGGAAAAGAAAGTAGTTTGTAAGCCCTTATCTAAGTCATGTACAAGATAACAAACTGATTCTAATAAAGATGTTTTATTACACAAGAGATCACATGTAAAATAACCAAAGACAAATACAACTTTTGAGGTGTTTAATGCGTTCCCTAGCAACTGTTGTTTGATCTGTAATTTGCATCCAGTCTACTGTAGCTATATCCAGCTGCAGACAGCTGTAGCTCTTTTTATTGTACCATTCCAGGGATAAGTATCTTCCCTGTTTCATTTTGACTTCAGGATTTGAGCAGCCAGTGTACAATGTCAGGAAACCAGTACAGTTTTAAAGTGATTAAATTCTATGAAAAACGGTATCCTATTTTATTGAAATCAATAGTTAAGTGGTTAACTTAGTTAAATTATATCCAGTAGGTGTGGATTTCAAATGAGAAAACTTCAGAAATGTCTTAATATATCTGTCCTTCAGATATGTACATATCATGCTCTTAACAGTCAACTGAGCATTACAATTAAATTTTGCAAAGCAATCATCTGTTCCTACTAAGTCAAACTGAGGTTTTGAGGGTGCTAAGATTGGCAAAGTTTTATAAAGGACTCCACAGCAAGTACCATGGGCACTTAGTTTTTAAAAAAACAGGGCCATGAGGCATCAGATTTTTTTTTAATAGACTGTGAAATGTATTTCCTAATAGATGGAAATGTTGAAGATTATGCATGTAACACAGTCCATACTTTCAGCTTTTTAAATGCAGAATCACAGTAGATTCTTCTAAATCACAGCATGAACTTTTGGAGAAGGCAGAGTGCTAATATTTAAAGCCTCTGACTCACTGAAAAAAAAGGTAGGCATATCGATATACTTGATACTAAAGGCAAGATTTGTGAAGACTGTAGAATGTTGAACTACCCAAGAGCTAAGGAGCATCTAACAGAGCAGGAGTCTAGAAGCTGTAAGGAGCTGTTTTGCTCAACTGTACAGAAGGCAATTTTACTTTTAAGTGTCCTGTTAGACAAAAGAACTGCAAAATGCTCATACATGGTTCTAGTGGATTCCCTAGTGATGTAGGGGCACCAGAAAAGCACAGCCTGAGAAGTTATCATTCAGTCTCCATAGAAATGTAGGATATCAGTAAGTGGATCATGGTTTAAAATACTTTTTTTCTTTAAAGGGAAATCCAGGGCAAAAAGGAGAAAAAGGAAATTCGGTGTATGTTTCACATTTTGGAAAAGGACCTCCAGTAAGTATATGATTGTGAAAAAAATCATAACTTGTAGGAAAACATGTATGGCAAATGTAATTGTTCTTAGAACTCCTCACTGTTTAATAAAGCTTGGGGCAGAAAAAGATTAAAAGCAAATATGCAATTGGAACAGATAGCTTGTGATCTTAATAGCTTTAAAGTTAGAAAATACCCACAACAAAGCTTGTAATGATTTGTTTGCTAAATGATTGTCATTACAGGGAGACAGAGGTGATCCTGGACCCCCTGGCATGCCTGTAAGTACAGTCAGTGGGTTCTATACATGTTTTTTGTCTCAAAGCTCTTTCAAATTTTCCTTCTTAGTAAAGAAATAGTGCAGTTTCTCCCTGCCAGCCTTAAATAGCTAAATTCCAGAATAAAGTCTAAAAACATCAAGTCCCTATAGTCTGCCTCCATGACCAGTTCATGCTGGTTGAAAAGGAGCAGAAACAGACCATACTCATCTGCATTAGCTACGCATTGAGCAGTTGTTGCCCTGGTACTCACAGTTTGCAGAATATTTTCTCCATGAAATTCAAGACGCGTAGAGATGTGACACCTTCTTCAACAGTATCTGGTGAATCTCCCAAGACCATGTAGCACATTACCATGTTTTGGCCATAAAAACATGTGAGAACAAGAGACAGTTTAATTTTGTTGCTGACTCACACTCTTAATGGCTTTGGGTTCCTTTTCTTAGGCCCTTCAAATAAGTATTCTCTGATGAACTCTATCAAGTCCCCACACTGTACCACAATTACTGACAAAGTATTCTTTCAATCCATTAATAACATATAACTGTGCATTGTCCAGTATCTGTACAGTATTATCCAGAAACTGGTGCTGAGCTGCTCTAGTGACAGTGAGGTTTCAGGTGTGGTATAAGCTTCAGGCCATGGGTGGAATGCAGTGGCCAGTAGACTGAGTCGAAGAGATGCAGACATTTTGGAGGGACTAGCTTTGTGGAGAAAAGGTAAGCTCTTGGTATTTACACAAACAGACCTTTTGCCATCTTTTCCAGGGACCTAGAGGGTCAAGAGGTACAACGGGCCCATCTGGATACCCAGGCCAACCAGGCTTGCCTGTAAGATAACCACAGTTATACAGCCTTGCACTTTCAGGATATGCATTAATTCCGGTCTACCAGTTTTAGAACTTGCCTTAATGTGAATCAAAGCCTAGAAATAATTTTTGAGGCAAATGATAAAAAGAGAGATTTTTGCCTTACCTTATGGGTTTGGAAGTTCAGGAATTGGAACATATGTTGTTCCTTCCCATGCCTGCGTGAACACGTTTCATCCTGGCAGTCTGTGGTCATGGAGGAATGCTGCTTGTGTTCTCTCCTTATTCCCTTTCCCCAAGGCCACCTTGTGGGAGACAGGAAGGTGGGAAGCCAGACTTCAGCCCTCCTGAAAGCAGTGACCAGGTGAAATAAATTACACTTCGGGATAGGTACATCCCAAGAGGAAATTCTACCCCTAGGTGCTACTGTCAAGAGGAGGTAATTTTCAAAGCAAAGCTGTCTCTAAATCAGACATACTAACTTGTCTTCATTCTCTTTGAAAGGGTATTGCAGGTTACCCTGGTTTGCCAGGCGAACAGGTAAGCAATGACTTTTCCAGAAGTTGTTAGTGAAATAATAGAGTAATTTATATAAATATTTTAAATGTCCCTTGTGGTTATTTGTTACCGAGTTTTTCAAAGGGGTTACTTGATTAAATTCTAATGTCAGCATTTTCTGATTACCTTCAAACTGTATACATTTTTTGTAAACTAGGGAAATCCAGGTATTGGAGTGGACGGACAAAAGGGGGAGCCGGTAAGAAAACAAATATTATTAAAGAAAACAAATATTATTAAATATATTATTGCTGTAGAATTAGAAGTATAATAGAGTCTTGTTGAGTTCCCTGGAACCCATTCAATTTGTGGCTGTGTGCTCTCACTAATCATGTGCTCTCACTGAAATGATGCATGGAACAATGTCTCTCTGCTGTTCCTTTGGCTTCCACAGGGCGACGTTGGGCTTCCTGGGCCACCTGGGTCACCACTGTTAGTTGGACCTCCTGGAGCTCAGCTGTTCAAAGGAGAAAAGGTGTTAGTCTTCATATTTAACTGTGCTGAACTTGGCAAGTACAATCCTGTGATGTAATTTTTGCAAGGATGGCATACGGCATATCTTTCTTTCTGTAATAAAC